GATGCTGCTTGGCCTGCTGTGTTCATCCAGCCCTGCACCTTGTTGTCCCTCTAATCTTTGTTGCTTTCCTACGATTCATCATGTAGTCCCTTGCCTTGTTTGTCCTGGCCAAGTGCATCACCTCACATTTATCCAGATTGAATTCCGTTTGTCACTGATCAACCCATCCGCCCAGCCCGTCTATATTCTCTTGTAGTCTAAGGCTATCTTCTTCATTATTTACCACATTGTATCTGTATAACAACATTTTACGAATCGTATAATGAGATACCCAGATTTCTCTGTACCAAGTTCTGCAATCTCTATTTAAATACTGTTTTCCTATTCTTCCACACAAAGTGGAGAAGTTCACATTTTTCCACATCATACCATTCTGCCAATTTCTTGACCACTCACTTAACCTATCTATATCTTTTTGCAAACTCCATCACCTCTTGACAACTTCAACTTAGTGTTCTACATCTCCTGGTATCTTCTGCAAATTTAGCTACCACACATGCAGTCAAACCACTGGTGGTGGGAAAGAAGAGACAGAAATGAAGGGAATTAGATGTCAAAGTTAATGAGAAATAAGGTTGGATCAATTCATAAATATCTTGGAAGCCAATTCACGTTGTGTGCCAGTCTATACAAGAAGAAACTGGAAATATTCTGCTGGTCAGGCAGCATCTGTGGAAAGAAACAGGCTTCATACTTCTGTTTGAGATAATCTGTCAGGCCAGCATTTTTAGTTTCAGCCACAGTATTTTCTTCTGTACATGTACAGGAGCAGTTCCTGGACCAGGGGGTAGAAAACAGAGTCAAGGTAAGTGGAGATAAGTTCAGTGGGGCAGGAGCAGGCAGAGACAATGGGTCGGCCGGGGCAGTCGGGTTTGTGGATTTTGGGAAGGAGATGGAAACGGGTGGTGTGGGGTTGGGGGAACGATGAGGTTGGAGGCTGTGGGTGGGAGGTCACCTCAAGTGATGAGGTTGTGGATGGTCTGGGAGATGATGTTTTGTGGTCAGGGGTGGGGTCATAATCAGGGGGCGGTAGGACGAGGTGTCAGAGAGTTGATGCCTGGCCTCCGTGATGTAAAGGTCAGTGCGCCATACCACAACTGCGCCTTCTTTATCCACGGGTTTGATGAGTGAGGTTAGGGTTGGAGCAGAGGGAGCGGAGGGCTGCACGTTCTGTGGGGCAGAGGTTGGAGTGAATGAGAAGGGTGGAGAGGTTGAGACAATCAATGTTGCGATGGCAGTTGGAAATGAGGAGATCAAGGGAGGATAGGAGGCCTTGGGGTGGTTTCCAGGAGGATGGGGTGTGTTGGAGGTGGGGGAAGGGGTCTCCAGAGGATGGGTTAGACTCGCGGTTAAAGAAATAGGCGTGGAGGCAGAGGCAGCAGAAAAACTGTTCATTCACTCTTGGATGTCGGTATTCATTGATGTGTGGGCAGAGGGGGATGAAGGTGAGTCCTTTACTGAGGACTGACCGTTCGTCCTCATTGAAGGGGAGGTCTTGGGGGATGGTGAAGACCCAGCAGGGCTTGGGGCTGGGGCTGGGGCTGGGGCTGGCTGCAGAGCTGGTCGCTGTGGGGGTGGAGTTAGGGTCGAAGTCGACATTGGTTGAGGTGACTGCGGTGGGGCGACATCGGCGGAAGTAACGTCGTCCTTGATATTGGCAGTGGGAACGGCAGCAGTAGGGGCGTCCTTGATGTCGATGGAGACAGCAGCATCCTTGACGGAGGTGGCGCTCTCAGTCTCGCCACCAGAAGTGGCAGCGTCCGCCTTTTGCAATTGGTGAATTGGTGGAGTGAAGAGCTGTGAGAAGTAACAGATGAGTGAATGAGGCGTAACAAAAGAAGGGAAGGGGAAGATGTCTTTGATTGTGATACCCTGCTGAAGGTTGCATGATTGATAGAGCATGATTCTTGAAATGCAAAGATTGGTGGAGCGAAGAGTCAAGGGGTACCCTATCGTTTTGCTGGAAAGGTGGGAAAGCATGAGGGCAGACATACAGGAAATGAATCAGACAGTGAAGTGCTCAGAAAGAAACGCAGTGAAATCTTGCAAGTGACACTTTCTGATCTAATTTGTCTTTTACATTTCCAAGTGGAGGTCCAGAAGAACCAGAATGTTCATTTCGAACCGTTTACCGTTTTTTTAAAATACTGGGTAGATGTGGTCTTTACATACTTAAATCTTTGAACATTGAGGCATGCATTGAACATGCGCAAAACTAGAGGGCATATTTTTAACATGAAAGAATGATTTAAAAGGGACAAGAGGAGCAACTTTTTCACACGGAGGGTGGTTTGCATGTGGAATGAACTGCCAGAGGAAATGGCACCTCATATTCCGCCTTGGGAACCAATGGTCTCAATGTGGACTTTACTAGTTTCAAAATCTCCCCACCCCCGGCCTCATCCCTTTCTCATCAACCCTCCCTCTCATCCCCACCTCCTTGATCTGACACAACCTGTCCATCTTCTCACCCACCTATCCGCTCCTCCCACCTCACTGACCAATCCCCACCACTGCCTACCTGCACTCACCTATCACCATCCCACCTACCTTCCCCAGCCCCAACTCTCCTCTCTCTCTTTATTTCAGAGCTCCCTTCTCGTCCCCCATTTCTGAAGAAGGGTCCCAATCCGAAATGTCAGCTTTCCTGCTCCTCTGATGCTGCGTGGCCTGCTGTGTTCCTCCAGCTCTACACTGTGTTATCACTGACTCCAGCATCTGTAGTTCTTACTATCTCTAGGTGACATATTTGCCCTTTTTTCTTTTCCTTCTCACTGCTGAAGACCCCAAACACATCTTCCAGGTGAAGCAGCCTTTCAGTCTGGTCCAATGTATTCATTGCTCACAAAACAATATCCTCCATGTTGGTCACATCAAATGCAGACTGATAACCAGTTTGTGTAACAGCTTCACTCTAAACTTAAGAATGAGTCCAATCTTCTAGTCACTTTCCATTTCAAGACACCATCTTGCTCTTATAATAACATTTCTATGCTTGTCTGTGGCAATGTTCCAGTGAAGCCAAATGCAAAGTGGAGGTACAGCACCTCATTTTTCCACTTGGCACTTGGACTTCAGAACCCAAAACCGAAACCCACAACTTCAGACCATGAATATCATGCTCCACTTAAATACGCAACAACACCCTGAAAGCCTTGTTTGCATGGCTTTGTTCTGAAGAACTGACCTATTTCTTGCTATAACAGATATCAAACACGTATCTTTCATCTATATCTCTCCTCCATTTGTATTCCCTTTGCCTTTTGGTTTGGGCACCCTCACCATCTGTTTCAGTTACTCCTCCTTGCACCCCCACTTTGTTAACATCAGTATTTGCCGACACTGCAACTGTGGGTGAACTATGCATGTGTGCTCACTCTGAAACGTGCATGTGGTGGAGAATGGATGGAGCTGGGATTGGGGCTAGGGCAAAGGTGGAGAATAGATGGGACTGGGGGCTTTGATTTCTCTTACTCCCCACACCCCAGCTATTTCCCATCATCACTGCCCCCTCTGTTGTTTCCAGTTTCCTCCGAATCCCTCCATTGTTCCTCATCTCCCCCACACACAGTTGCATATCCCCTCCACCTTCCCCTGGCCACTGTTCTCCATTTCTCCTGCCCTCATTTACAGCCTCATCCATTAATGCGTATTTGCAGGGAATAGCATGGTGCCACCAAATGTATCTTGTCAAAAGCTTGAAAACTATCATTTTTCATGCCCCTTCAGTTGCAAAGTAGAGTTTTTTTAGTTATGAATGTCAACTTCATTTCTGCTTCGAAAGATGTTGCCAGATATGCAGAGTTTCACCAGCAATTTTCTTCTAGTCGAGTTCTCCAACATCCACAATACTTAGCCTTTTATCTCCAGTTCTATCCTTCAATGCGTGCAATAGGGTTGTAAAATCAATCTCATGAAAAAGATAAAAAATTTTTTTAATAAAGTGCTTCAAAAGTTCCAAATCTAATGTGACCCATCTGTGGAAGGTATCAAGTGGCTGCAAGGTGCACAGGAAAACTGGAAGTGGCATGCAGAAAATGAATGTTAACCCACACTGCTGGTGTACTTGTTTTTATTTAAGAGCGTATATTGCACAGGCTTGGGACACTGATAACTACACTGTTGATCTAGATCAGTTAACGAGGGAATGCAATGCAGCCCTACTGAGAAAATAATGTAAAATGAGACTTCCAAGCATTTGTTCAAGTGTTAAAGATCTGTTAAATCAATGCCGGAGAATGGTCAGATACAAAACAAGCTCCCTTAACTTTAAATCAAGTATCACACTAAGGTCAGAAAGTAACCTCAATTGTATTTTCTTTCTTTCATTCACACCTCAACAACTCTCAATACCAGTGAGACTGCCAAGTTAAATCTTCTACTGTGTATTTAAATGGCTACATTGAAGTTTCCTGTACTAAATCTGCAGAAATGGGCTCATCAGACACAAGAGTTGAGCATAACTTGAGTACCAAAGTCAAAAAGCTAAGGATTAATTTACTAAATCACCCAGCCATCTTTCATGATGTGAGATTTGGGAAACAAATAATCATTGTTGTTCAAGCTGGAAGACCCAAATATGCAAATTTTACAAATGATTTAATATAATAAACAAATAAACTAAATAACCATAAAGCTAAGCACAGTTCCAGATGCAATTGTTTCACATTAAAATGTATTTTTAATTTCGGGTGCCTGAAATGAAACTTTTATGAGGTATGGTTCTTAAGTGGAGGCCCTTGCTATTTGAAATGATCATGTAATGGCAAAATCATCTTCCCACTGTTACGTTTTAAAAGTGGTCAGGCAGAAACTGTAGCTAGAAGTTCAGATAACTACATTCTGGCACACTGTAAGGTTGGGAGGTGGCACCTACTTCAGGATAAACCTATAGGAAGGAATGCCACAGATTCGTTATGTTACTGGATAATTAATAGAGGTTTGTTCTAATGATCCAGAAAACAGGGTTTAACTTTGAGCTGAAGGAGGAGATGTAAGAAGTCACCACAAAGTTTGGTCAAAACATTGGATTTCATGAAAGCTGTTAATACAGGACAGACTGAACGCATTAGGATAAATTCCAGAACATGGGGTTAAACACATGAAACATGTGGAATAGTACTGTTAATAGAAGCACTGAGAAAGGAGACATTGCAAAAGATTCTGGAAGCAGGAAATTAGAATCCTTACAGTGTGGAAACAGGCCCTTCGGCCCAACAAGTCCACACCGAACCTCAGAGCATCCCACCCAGATCCATCCCCCTATGACCCACCTAATATACACCTTCTACCTCCCTGAACACTACGGGCAATTTAGCATGGCCAATCTGCCTAACCTGCACATCTTTGGACTGTGGGAGGAAACCGGAGCACCCGGAGGAAACCCACGCAGACACGGGGAGAATGTGCAAACTCCACACAGACAGTCGCCCGAGGCTGGAATCGAACCCAAGTCCCTGGTGCTGTGAGGCTGCAGTGCTAACCACTGTGCCACCGATGGAGATGGGAGGCAGTTTGAGGCAGTTACGGTGACCAAGGATGAAAATGTTCATTTAAAATGTTGGAATCTGAAAGTCATTGTAGGTTAATGAAGATAGGAGTTGCTACATAAATAGTTCTTAATGCACGATCAAGCACAAACACCAGGGTTCATGATGAGCTGGACTTTATGCATTATGAGGATAGGAGGTCAGCCTGGAGATCATTAAAATAACCAAACCTGGATAGAAATCAGCATGGATTAGGGTCTCACTGGCACATGGGTCAAGCAAGGGAGAGAAGGGGGTGATGAGGTGGACAAAACCTCTACATATTATACAAAGGATTTTAGGCGATCGGCATGGTGACATGGATCACAGCATTGTTTTCTGGTTCTGCAAGGATCTTGTAAAATTAGAGGGAATGCTGTGAACTGTCTGGTTCAGCACAAGATAATGACAAGGGAAGACGACGGAGTTGATGACAAGAGTACAGAGTTTGTGGAAGGGTGTAATGTGGATAGAACATAGAACATCGAACAGTACAGCACAGTATAGGCCCTTCAGCCCACAATGTTGTGCCAACCTATTACCCTACTCTAAGATCACACTACCCTGCATACCCTACATTTTACTATCATCCATGGGCCTATCCAAGAGTCGCTTAAATGTCCCTAACGTATTTGACTCCACTACCACTGCCGGCAACGCATTCCACACACCCATCACTCTCTGTGTAAAGAACCCCTATACCTTCCTCCAATCACCTTCAATTATGCCCCCTTGTAACAGTCATTTCGCCATGGGAAAAAGTCTCTAGCTATCCACTCTATCTATGCCTCTCATCATCCTGTACAAATAATGTCCCCACATTGCTACATTGAACACTTGCCCAGCCTCCTTCCCCAGAACCAGATCCAGCACTGCACTGTCCCTGGTTGGGCCTTCTACGTATTGATACAAAAAACTCCCCTAGATTCATTTCAAGAAATCTGCACCCCCTAAACGCTAACACTATGACTATCCCAATTTTGTAGGAGACAGCGGGTAGTGGTGGAAGATTGTTTTTCAAACTGGAGGCCTGTGAGCAGCAGCGTTCCAGAGGGAATGGTACTAGTCCACCTTTGCTTGTCATTTATATACATGATTTGGATGAGAAGATAGGAGGCATGGTTAGTAAGTTTGCAGATGACACCAAAATTGGTGATATAATTTTGTCCTTTTAGGGATGTTTCCTCCAACAACTCTGTGAACTGGTGTGATCACACTTGTCTGATTTGATTTTTATTAAACAGCCAGAGAATCAACTGAAATGCCTTCTTTTCACACTCTAGCAGTTGCCTCTAATTTCCTCCAAGGATCAATTTCGGCCCTCTTCTATTTCTTGGCTGCATGCTACCCTTCAAACAACATGCAAGAACTGGGCATCAGTTTTACATGCAAGCTGACAATACCCAGCTCTCCCTTACCAACACCTCTTGACTCCTCCACTGCTTCTGTAAATAATCAAAATGCTTTCTGACATCCAGTACCAAATCTGGAGAAATGTCCTCCAACTAAATATTGGAAAGCCTGAAGGAATTTGTTCGATCGCTGCCACAATATCCATTCATTAGTCATTAACTTGCATCCCTCTCCCTAGCAACTACCTGGTAAACCGGACTATTCACAATTCTGGTATTATATTTGATCCTGACTGCACTTCTGACCACACATCTATGCCGTCACTAAGGCCACCTGTGTCTACCTTCCTAACATCGTCAGATTCATTTCATACCTCAGTACTTCATCCATACTTTTGTTCAAAACCTCTAGCATTCCTAGCTGACACTGCACATCCTACCCCTCTGTAAACTTGAAGTAATCTAAAAGTCTGCTGCAAATATCCCAATTTGTACCAAGTCCTGTTCTCCATCACTCATGCTTGTTAGTCCACATGGGTTCCTGGTGTTTTAAAAAAGGTCTTGCTTTTAAAATTTTCATCCTTGTTTTGAAATCCCAAATGGCCTTGTCCTTCTCTGTCTGTCTTTTCCTCCAACCCTATTTTTATATTCCTCAATTTTGGCCTCGAGCATCCTCAATTTTAATTGCTCCACAATTGATGGTCATGGCACTAGTTGTCATGGCCCTAAGCTCTGGAATTCTCTCCTTAAATTTCTATACCTTTCTACTCCTCTTTAGGCATTCTTTAAAACATGTCTTTTACTGCTTGGCTCAAAATTTGCTTTATTACACTTTTGTGAAGTTCTTTGGCAAATTTTATGATGTTAAATATAAATACAAGCAAACCAGACTGAAATTAAATAAAGTTCCACTACGTACAAAGGCAGTGTTTCTTGCATGTTGGGCCTAAATGCCACATGGCAGCACAAATTGCATTGTTTCACCTATAGCAAATCACTTATTCTGTTCTAATGACCTACTCAGAAACTAAATGACACAGAATTAGCAGCAAGCTTAGACTCAAACGCAGCAAGCACTAAACCAACAAGTTATCTGTAAATGCAATACATCAAAGCATAGGTAAGTGAAAAAAAAAACTTGCTCCAACCTTATACAGTACTGATCTGGGTCAACTGCTGATCGCTTTTCCAGTCTTCTTTCGATGCCCAAGCCTAAATTTGAATCTATAACACTGACAGAATGTCGCTGTCGACGGTCATCATGAAGGCTGGCAGATACGGAGTCAAAGGAGGAATTGCTGACAATGCTGGAGCGTGATGAAATTTCACTGTGACCAGAATCTGAAAAATTGTCTGCTGTGGCACTTGGTGCTAAAGCAAAACCTGGAAAATAAAAAAAAATGAATTACCTAGTCATAGTTCTAAGCATAGAAGAGCTTAGCAGGGGGAAAAAAAGTCTGAATTTAATTGGGATTAATTTATTGGTTTGTATTCATTGTACTAATTAAGGTTGGACCAGTATAAATTCAACATTCAAACTGATTCAACATAGCAGAGGAAGCCTTCAGAATAAAGGATCTCAACAGAATGACAAAGGGAAAACAACGATGTTCAGATTGATAAACATCTAGTTAGTTACAAAAGGTTAATTTAGTAAAGACTTCAGTATAAAGCTCTGCTCTGCAGCATGAGTTTTTAATCAAATATTTGCCAATCTTATGTATCCTGAGTATTGAGAAACTGGTTTAAAAATAAACTTTGGTGCTACAGCATTGACATTAATTGCATTAGAGAATACTGGGTTTCTCAAATTGGTACAAAATTTAAATCAGAAAATGCCAATTAAATATCATAACAAATGTGGAAACTACTGAGCACCTAACATATTAAATAACAGGGAGTGTTTCAGAAGCTAAGAGCTACAAGATAAAATAATAATTAAACAGACGTAGCACATCAGCATTGCTCTTTGTAAAATACCTGTCTGTCCTTAACAGGCTTTGCACGTAAATTAATCAATTGGAAAACATGGGTGTTTACTGGTGGTGGTTAATAGATGAAAAAATACAATGGGTGATTTAGTGACAGGACAGAAAAACGTTCAGCTGAGTCAAAGAGCCCATCATTCATATATATGTATATATATATATATATATATATATATATAAATACACACACATACACATATATGTATATATAAATAAAATTTAAAATAAACCTGCCTGAGAGTGTGATAGGCAGATTCAATTAGAGCTTTGCAAAGGAATATGCTTGAACACCTGCAGAGAGAAAGTCTATTCTGGCACAGGCAGAACAAGCCCATTATTTCTTGTTTGCACCTTAACCATAATAAAGATTTCATGAAGCACTGCACTGCCTTGAGGGGGCTGAATATCAAAAGTCTTTCACACAAATAATATTTATGAAATGTGTCACTCAGTAGCTGGGATTTTGCTGCGCAAATGGGCTTCCCACCCTCTGGCTGAAAAACAAGTAGAGAATGCCCATTGGTTCCTTAGGGACTGAATCAAGCGATCTTAAGACACTTAGGTGGCCACTGTCAGGCCTACCTCACAATTGAGATCCTTGGCTCTGGAGGTCCTGACTTCTGACAGCTACCAATCAGAGACTAGCAGATTGTTATTGGCACCAGCGTTAGGAAAATCTGTCGCTTTTGGTGGCACTATGCGCATTAGAAGCCCAGAATCATCATTGGACTCCAGAGTCAAATGAGGGCAGGATGGAGGGTGTAGTGGGCTGGTGGTAAGTGAAGTGAAGGGAAGTGCTTTCAGTGCCTGTGCTCCTTGAAAAATACTGGCTCCCTTAATTGGCCCCAGAGTGCTTTAGCAAAAGGGACCCACTCCAGATACCACAGGCAAATCCAACAGGCTCCTTTTTAAACCCTGAACGATCACTAAATTGTGTTTGGCTCATAGATAATGGATGTCAGCTGGCTTAATAATTAGTCTAATTGACAATCCATTGCCAGTGTCTAGATAATGCCTCTTTTTAAATTCACTCATGGGACATGGGCATTTGTTGTCCACCCCTAGTCGCCCTTGAGAAGGTGGTTGTGAGGTGTCTTTGTGAACCACTGCTATGTGTTGTAGGTAAATGCCCAATACCTTGGCTCTTTCTGCCCATCTACTTAAATTGGCGGATAGTGGGGAGGTGGGGGGGAGCTAGTTTTGCTACCGCTGGGAAACTTAAGCAGACCTCCTTTGCTTAATTGAACCAGGTTTCCTGCTCAGCAGGCTACATTAAATCAAGACCAACATGAGATTTAGTTCTTAATGAGATTACTCCCTGCATTTATTCCAAAGCATTTCATGCAGCCCTCACTATTACTTAATAATTTGCACATATGGACCGGTGATTATGTTATTACCAAAATCAATTACTGTCAAGTTGGAAATATTGCCCGTTTTAAAAAAATGCAGTAGTTTGAGAAGTTTTATTTTTTAATACCTGACGCTAGACGTTTAACTTTTCAACTTTATTTTTAAGTGCCACTTAATCATGTGGGCTTTTAAAACATATATTTTGATTTATTTAAGCTGGTTATAATTTAATTCTCCTCCTGTTGCTGGTTGTAGCTCAGGTCTTCCTACAAGCTTGTGTTTATATTCCAGATGGATTGGTAAAAACAACAATTACAAATAAATATGAAGCAATTCTATCCTAATTGTAGAAGGATAAAAAAACCCAAAAAATTTTAAAAATACTGCAAAGTCTCTTATCTTTTAATGTGACCATTTTCCTCTCTAACTGTCAATGCACCCAGCTTCTGAAAATAGTCTGTTTTGATGTAATAATCTATCATTGTTCAACATAATATGAGTTTTAATTTCCTTTTGTTGCTCTGGCACACCACTTTGTTCCTCAATTACATGTGTCCAAACTACATACTGCAATTTTAAAACAAGCAAGTTGCTTGTCAATGTCATGTTGTCATTATAAGGATCTTGGCTAATTAGAATACTGGTTTTAAAATGACAGTTGGTCCTCATATTATACTTTTACCCTCAGGCTGCTGACCACCCCTCCACAACAAACCCCCTCCCCAGTAAGTCTGTTACAGTTTTCTTTACAGAACAACCCCACCTATCCCATAGATCCGTTGTACATTGTTATTCTTGTTACTGTTTTCACTTCCAAGAGAAGATGAAGAGCCTGATAGGTCCGACTGTCTGCAGCCATGAGATCTCAGCTTACTGCCACCTGACAAACAGGATGAAAAAACCAATTTAGAAATCAAATCTGACACTCACTGTATCTTCTGTGAACAGAACCAGGTTCTCATTTGTCCAGACAACCTTTTTCAGATAGTCAGTCTAAGTCAGAGTAAGTTCTTCAGGACTTTAGTTGGGAATAATTAGATTGCAGAAAGCTCATATTTTTCTGTCTTCCATTTAGAAAATTCCAGAAACTCATCTATAACATTATATACCCGTACAAAGACAATTACTCCAAGCATTTACAAAATAGCTAGGTTGTGTTCAAACCAGCGAATTCACAATGCATCAGACACAATCACATTTTGACATAGGTGAAAATCTATACTGCTAAATGATGTCTTCACACTAGTTGTTATGTGCACTGCCAATGTTTTAACACTGATCTTAAAATGAAAGATGCGACAAAGGATTACTCAATCTTTTCAAAAAGAATATGAAGTAAACATTACTGTGCAAGCTCAATTTCACAATTGTCTAAGCTACTGATTATTTGGAGTATTTAGTAGAATGGACACAGGTTGGAAGAGATCAGAATTCTTCAAATTTGGTTAAAAAAGGGATTCATCTCACTTTTTCTTTTCCATCCTGAAAGCAGTGCTGGATGCTTTTCCACATTGGTCAAAATAGCTTCAGTCTCCACAAGAAAACTAATTTCTGTTAATAATGCGTTTTGTGTCACCGGTGAGATGTCAGTTCCAATCAAGAACTTATTAAATTCTTCCATGCAGAACCCATCAACCGAACTAAAAGATTGTCCAACAATTGTAAAACACCAGGCTCTATTACCTAAGCAGTTATTAATCAATGGAGGCAAAATATTTCAACGTTGAGACCCTCATAAGGGCGCATAATTATGCATTAGAAGACCTGAGCTACCAAGTAGTCCAAATATACCATTTCCGTTCAAATTGCAATTGTTTGCTTTACCGGCAAATTGTGGTTTGAAATGAGGGGTGCAAATTATTATTGAAAAATTTATGTAAGCTGCAGTAATTTAAACCATTTTCATGGAAGTAGGGGCAATGGAGAATCATTTACACATTATCACAACGAACAAAAACATGTGGAGTCAGCTGCAGTAAATATTAAAAGGAGTGTGGAAATGGATCTTACATTTTTTATACAACAGTTAATATTAATAAATTTAACATAAGGAAGTTCCTAGGAGAAGATCCTTTCTGCTTTGAGCAAGTCAGGTATTCGGCAACTTAAAACTAGAAAGATTCATTGGCTGGATATTTAAAACAGTAAAGAATCCAGGGCAACGGCATGGGGGTGCGCAATTTGGCACCACCAGCCTCATGCCAGTGTGCTACCAAGATCCCAACACAGTGATTTTGAGCAAGGACAATTCATGGTTGCATTGGCTCACCAGGAACAGTGTGAAGTCAATGGAGGGCAAGTATTGTTAACTACAATTAACAGTTCCTTGCATTGCCATTTAGCATTGTAGGCAACTCATATTTGGTGCATGTCCTCTCCATACCCATATTGGCAGCTGGGCTATAGTGGCGATCACTGACACTTAAAGATTAGCACTGGCGTTATAAAACATCAAAATAAACTCACCTTTGTTTGTCCCTTGCAGTCTTCATTTTCAAATTGGCAGTTGCCACCCTTGATGGATGTGCTGCATTTAATCCTGGAGGGTCTCTTATTGCCTCTCCAGTACTCAGAGCTTGCCTGCCGTCCCTACTTGGACGGCAATCCAGCTTCTTGGTTTTTAAATCAGCTGAAAATTTGAACTTCCCCATGCCTAAAGAATGCTTTGGGTGGAGATCCAAAACCAAACTCCTTCTCTGGTTCATGATCCCTGCTTGAAAATCCAGCCCCAGATATCTCCCATTAAATGATAAGTGCACAGAACACATGAATAACTACCACAGGATAGAGATGTGATGCCTTGAGCAAATGGGAAAGTAGTAGACTGGAAATCTTAAATCACAGCATGGGTTGAAATTCCAGGCCCATCCTGGAACCTGGGGGTATATTTTCTAAGATGCTACCTTTCCTTGGTGAAGTCTGAGGAGATGTGGGAGGAGACGACAGCTGAGATGAAGTGTTTGATAAAGTATCTTCTGCCTGCTTTTTATTCCGATCCAAATTTGCTTCTTCAGACAAGGACAGGATTTTTTTCAAAGCTTGAGGAGAATGTGTACCTTAACAACAGAAATTATAGTAATAGAGTTGAAGTAACCTTTTAATTTCATTCCATAGAAAGAAAAATAATGTTGAACAAACAATTATAGAGAAAAGCTTTGGAAATGGCAAATTCCTATATCAAAACACTTGTTATTGTATTGAATTGACTCTTCAAAATGATTATTTTTCATGCACATTTCATAGAAGGGAAATAGTAAACACTCAGATCAAAGCACAGCAGCAAGTTATTTTCAGAAACGTTATTACCAAATGGTGGGAGGTCTTTAACTTGCACTTTCTTGCGTGACGGATACAACGATACAGCTGGGACCTGGAGGGCCTGATTTGCTTTTTGCTGTTGTTGCTTCTGGTTTTGCACTCCTGATCTTGGAGCAACTGGAGATGTATCTGAAAGTTTTCCCACTTTCTTTTCACCTGTGTTTTTGGGTACTAAATGTCAAGGAAGAAGAAAGATACATACAGATTGCATGGAAATTTCAAATCTAAAACTGGTGAAACTCTCAAATTCCTTAACTTTGTCCTGATCATTATTACTTAGAGAATTTAGGTGGCATTTTAGCCAGCCTGTTCCGCATTATAGACATGCATCCACTGACTGGTAACTGTCCAACCAAAAGACTGCCATTAACATGTTCTTCACTGGGGGTGAAACTTCTTGCAACCAATACAAAATCTCGTTCTTTGATCTATATCTCTATGTTCTGCCTCCAAATCTTAGAAGTTGCATGTTTAGTTTTGAGTACTTTATTAGACCGTTTGGAACAGTTCATAGCATTAGACACTTTGAATTACACCTGAAACATAGATTAACCAGGCCCTGAGCATTTCTGTGTTCATTCTTCTAGTATAAATGATGAATTTTCTTTGCTTCTCAAAATTATCGCGAACATTTCTGTCCTCATTTCTACTGAGTACAATTCTCCTTTTGCATTGTTGCCTGCGACCATCATCTCAGTAATGTCTCCAATTTATTCATGTATTCTTTTATTTTGTTTATTTTCTCCTATGTGTTGTGAGTACTGATGGAAAGGAATGCTTCCCAAGGATTTTTTTTATGTGCTTCTCACATTTGTACAACCAATATATATTTATCTGTAAATTTAACTCACGTCAAAACTGGAAGTATGTCTGTACTTGATATTTTAGCAAAGTCTAATACTTAAAAGCTAACATAAAATGGCAAATTTCCAAATGAAATTTCTGCAGTCTTACATATAATCTACTGAACTCCATTATACACTGTTCTATGATACTATTCTCAGTCTTTCCAAATTGTTAAAAATTTGACCACACCTCAAAAACAGTCAATAAATCATCTTTTTAAATCAATTCTTTCCATGAAAGCTAACAATCTATTCAAACCTACATCATTGTTCAAATCATTAGGCTCCAATTCTGAACAAAAAATTGCTTTTCAGCCTGCATCTGTATGCTAACTTAAGTGCGTGACATACCTTGTACCTTCTTCATTAAAGAAGTAATCCAAGTCCACATTACAACTTCATTCTGGTCATAAGGATCATTTTCAGAAAATAGGGTGGATGGCATACCCCAAAACTTTACATTTCGACTCAGCCATGCTCTACTACCATTATTTAAGTAGTTACCTTTTAGTATACAACACACAGAACAAATCTAAACTTTTAGTGAGAGCTTTATTTCCATTAACCACACTCCATAATAGTCAGCACACCACTGAATAACAGCTCCCCATATTTACACAATAAAGCTTATCCAATTAACCCTTAATTACTCTATCCATCACCCGTACAGTTTTTCCATTGGGTTTCAGGAAACCCCTCAGATTTATTAGATGATAGAAACAGTCAAGGGACTAGAGTTGAAATTGTTGAAGCTTGCAAGTCAGAGTACTGCCGTTGAAGCACTATTAATCAATAATCAATTCTGACAGGATGGGAAAACAAGAAATGGTCATATGCCACACCCATTCTGTTCCTAAACCGTATAAATTCTGCTTCACCCTGGGTACAACGCAAATCCACAGTCTCCTCAAAAGGAAATGTCTTGGAAAATTTCTTAGTCATCCAAGGGAAAAGCGTTCGAATTTCCTTACACCTGTGTAATCCTGCAATCTTTTTTCAGATTCTATAATACTGTTTTTTGGTAAGTATGATATTGCCCAAAGCATAATAGTTCAGGGAGCCGTCATGTTGGTATTTAATTATCTCTATCTAAGTTTAACTTTACAACTGTCATTTGGTTTCCTAGCCATTCACTGCCTGAGAAGGAATGCTACAAATATGCTATAAATCCAGAAGTTCCAGCACAAAGAATTTTAAATCGTACCTTCTGCATAATCTTAATTATGCATGAAAATATAAGAAAATATAACTATATCTTTTGAAATAAATATAATACTGAAATTCAAGAATACTGCTACTTTTATAAGCTATTTCAAAATGTTAATTTATTATTTCTCACAGCTGGAAGTAAATATTTATTTTAATACAAAAACTAATGTAATTTTAAGCACTGGTTTCTCCACTTGTTAATGAAATGCAAATAAATTCACATTTGGGCCAAGAGTATAAAAAAATTATGACTTGCAAAAAGATCTATAACTTACATGTATTAGTGCTTGGTTCACACTGTAGTGATAATGCCTGGAGGTTCTCTTCATCCATATCCAGATCAAGGTTTGCAAGGTATTGTTTTACTTTTCGAGCCATTTGTGCATCTTCATAGAGTTTCTTGGCATTGAGGAATGAGCTGCGCCGTACCCGTTTTTTGTGTCCCCCTGACTGCACCACATCTAGCACAGCAGCATTTGTACTGCCCTGGCTAAGCGACCTGCCACAATGGAAAGAGAGAGATGCCGCCTGTTTCAGCATGGAAGGTCAAAGACTGGGACATGCAAAGTCTTTGTCAGATTGAGGGTAAGTCTTGTTCAAGCTTAAAATAATACATGCCTCATTCCAGTAAGTCATACAGAAAAAGAAATGAAAAGGAAAAGGAAAATTAAAACCAAGAGCTATCCTGCAGATAACCCTATTCTGCTCCAAATTGAAAACAAACTTTATGCCATTATATGCATGTCTGCCCACTAGTTTAGAAGAAGCTACTACTTCAGTAAAAGAGTTGGAGCAGGAGTCAAAGCTCATGCAGGACTGATGTTAAACAGCAATACTAAAAACAAAGTAGTCTCAATATTACTCTTTACCATTTGATGATGAATAGGACAGTACACTCTGCTCTGATCCCAAAGAACACTTCCTTCTACTCAAGATCAAAAAGGCCCATTTGAAGCTTTATCCAAGTTACTAAATGGTGAGACTTCAAAAATTATTCCTTGACATCTGAGCTGCAAGTGTAATATATAACTGTCGATAAAATTATGACTTCCAATTTAATCCTCATTTCTATATTTAAAATATTTATTTCAAACAGTTATTGTGTCTCTGTATTAAAAAAAAATTATATGTGATTTCAAACCATCATTATGTAATTTTAAGGGACTGGGGCTACCATTTCTAAAGTCTCTTAGCAGCCTAAGCGATGTTAGAACAGATTTATGTGAGTAGATAAAGATCATCCAACATGATGCCAGAGCACAAAAGGGTTAAATTGAAAAATGTCAAAGCATAAAAGGGAGCAGAGAGAGATGGAAAATGAAAAATGGCAAAAAAATGTCCTTGGTGCCTACTAAACACCACTTACCCCAGACTTCTCCATTTCTTCTTCCTGTAATTGAGAGCCATGAATATTGAAGCGTGGATTTAGGAAGAAAGACAGAGAAAGATCACAAGCTCTGACAGAAAAGACCAGATTTCAGACATGCAGTAACAGAAGGCATGGGACATAACACAGTCATCACAACGCAAACTGACTATAAACAGAGGATTATATACAAATATTCTTCAATCCAGTCACAGTAACTTCCACCACTGTAGAAAGTAACTTCATAAAGCTTTTAATATGTTAATACTGTAAAATTGAAGGCTAGTTTGAGATTATGTTCTGTCGTTGTTCTCTATAAAGACAAATGCAGAAGATATTCCAATCATGATAGGGATAATTGTACATTAATAGGAAAAGAACATCTCATAATCAGAATGGATAGAACCATCACAAAACCTGGACTGATCCTCACAGAGACATACCAGACATTATCTCAACATATTATTTATTGATGGCTTATTGCTGTATTACATATACTGTAATTCTTTATAAGTAATGTACCTTTGCAGTAATGCAGAGTGTAGCTTCAATTAATTCCACCGAGGGATTAAATTTTTAAGTTGCTATTCCAGACTAAAACTGCCCATTAGAGAAACTGCCTATATTCATTTTTGCTGGTCGGAAGTCATTTCCTAAATTTGATGTCAATATTTGTTCAATTTGTATAGTCAGATTTGTGTAGCAAGTAATATACATATATTTGTTACAATACAGCATAATTAATCAATCTCATTTTAATTTGATTTTGGACTAAATGCATTTAAAATATCATCTATTAATAGGAAATTCCACATCAATAGTATCTAAATATACAAGGATCACTGACAACCCCAAAATTAAACTGTCTGGTTTATAACAGCTGTGTGATTATGCCACTGCAATGAAAAGGACAATTCCGAAGAAACACAAACAACTGCCCGATTGCTCATCTTAAACCAGGAGGTGCATTTTACTTTTTCTAAAACATTCTACATTAGCTTCCTTCAGTAAGCTTTGCATAGTCAGGAAGGAGTGATCATAACAGCCCACGTGACTATATAGTTTGGGGAATTTGGAGGCAACGTGGGAATCTGGTGCAGAGGTGAACAGGTGCCTTCTGCTTGCGTTTTTTGACTAATAGTTTGTAATTTTTTTATTAAAACAGGATAAATTGAAGCCCAGGAGTAGAAGTACAGGATGAGAGTGACATCACAAGTGAACCATAAGTTCAATGGTTGGTGATAACTACTAATTTTTCTATCTATTATAAGTTACTTTCAGATTGAAGGTAAATAAGGCAAATATTTACAGGCTACAAACTAAAAGTGTTTAATAATCAAATGAAGAACTAAGTAATTAAAATAGAGATGCCGGACCAGGCGATGTGTTGTATCTGATCGATGAGGGTGCTGGTGGACCCTATTGTGGTTCACAACGACCACATCTGTACCTTGAGGAAATCCAGCTCAGAATTGATGAGCTGGAGTCTGAGCTTCATGCATTGTGATATATGAGGGAGGGGCAAGAGTTACTTGAACTCTGTGTTTCAAGAGGCAATCACACCACTTACACTAACTTCCTTGAATTTGGTCAGTGGTCAGGAGGGTGTGACTATGAGTGAGGTAGGTAGAGGGTTCAGGGAGATAATGCTGAAGGAGCCTCAGCCCTTGAGCTTGTCTAACAGGTTTGAGATTCTTGCTTCCTGTGTGGATGAGAGTTGGGCTGTCAGGAGAGGGGGCAAACTGACTATAGCGCCATAATGCAGGGAGCTATTCAAGAGGGGACAGAAAAGAGAGATATAATCAAAGTTGGGGATAGTATAGTCAGGGGAATAGGCACTGTTCTCTTTGGCCAGGATTGAGTCCCTGTTGCCTGCCTGGTGCCTGGTTTCAGGATATCTCATTTGGGCTGCACAGGAACTTGGAGCGGGAGGGGATCTAGTTGTCATGGACCACATAAGCACCAACGATAGGTGGAAGGAGGAAAGATGTTCTATTGAGAGAACGTGAGCAGTTAAGGGCTATATTGAAAAGCAGAACTGAAAAAGTAATAATCTCTGGATTACTAACTGAGCCATGAGCAAATTAGCGCAAAGTCAACAAGATTAAAGAGATAAACACATGGCTCAAAGATTAGTGTGGGTGTAACAGGTTTGAAGTCATGGGACAGAGGCACCAGTACTGGGAGGGAAGGGGTTGTCTGATCGGACGGGATCTACCTGACCTGGTGAATTGTATAACTAAGGCTGTGGATTGGGCTTAAACTAAAGTGTGGGGTTGGATGGGTTCATTTGCATGGAAAGTTATGGAAGGAGGGGCATGCTCAGCAGAGGTTTATTAAAGTTTCCAAAACAAGTAACAGGACAGAGAATGGAAAGGCTCAGGAAATTAACTTCAGGCATTGTAGATAAGGGGACAACTATGAGAAGGGGGCCAATCAATGCAGGACTGTGGGTGTTGTACTTAAATGCAAGCAGTATACAAAACAAGGTAAATGTAGCACAGATCGAAATTGACAGGTATGATGTTGTAGGTATCACAGAGACATGGCTGCAGAGATCAGACCTGGGTAATAAGTATATAATAATACATGTCCTATTGAATGGAAAGGTAGGCAGGCAGAGGGGGCAAGGTTGCCTTATTAGTAAGAAATTAATTTAAATCAATAGAAGTGATATAGCAAGGAATGTGCAGAGTCTGTGTGGTTAGAGTTGAAGAATTGCAAGGAAGAAAAGCCCCTAATGGAAGCTGTGTACAGTCCTCCTAGCAGTAGTCAGAATGTGGAAAAGACAATAAATCTGGAGGTAGGAAAGGTAATGTAAGAAAGGCACCATTACAATAATAATGGGGGAGAAAATGAAAACTAGCTAGTAATATAAATGAAGATTGCAAGTGTTTTTACAGATATATAAAAAGTAACAAAGAGGCAAGAGCGGACACTGGAAAATGAGGCTGGAGAAGTAGTAATGAGGAACAAAGAAATGGTGGAGAAACTGAATATGTATGTTGAATCAATTGTTAAAGTGCAAGACACCAGCACCACAGCAGAACTTCATCAGTCAGGAGGCAGAGGTGAATATTGTGGCTACCACTAAAGAGAAGCTGCCGGGGAAGCTGAAAGGTCTGAAGCTATCCAGAGCAGATAGACTACACCCACAATTCTAAAGGAGATAGCCGGGGAGATTGTGGATGCCTTAGTGGCAATCTTTCAGGAATCACTGGATTTAGGAGGGTCCCATAGGACTGGAAAATGACTAATGTAAGATCTCTGTTTAAGAAGGGGTGCAGGCAGAAGACAGGATACTACAGGCTGGTTAGCCTGACCTCGATTATTTGTAAAATTTTAGAGTCCATTATTAAGGATGAGATTGCCGAGTATTTGGAAGTACATGGTAAACAGGGCTGAGTCTGCATGACTTTGTCAACGGGACGTCATGCCTGACAATAAAAGGTGTCTTTTTCAGGATGCAACTAGTGGAGTCCTGCAGGGGTCAGTTTGGAATGAAAACTATTCATGATATACATTAACAATCTGAACGAAGGAACTGAGGGCATTGTTGCTACGTTTGCAAATGACACAAAGATAGATGGAAGGACAGATAGTGTTGAGGAAGCAGGGTGGCTGTAGAAAGACTTGAACAGGCTAGGAGAGTGGGCAAAGAAGTGGCAGATGGAATACAATATGGGGAAATGTGAGGTTATGCACTTTGGTATGTAGAGTAGAGGTGTAGACTATTTTCTAAATGAGGAAAGACTTAGGAAATCTGAAGCACAAAGGAACTTGGGAGTCCTAGTTCAGGATTCTCTTAGGGTTAACATGCAGGTTCAATTGGCAGTGAGGAAGGCAAATGCAAACCCCTTAGCATTCATTTCAAGAGGGCTAGAATACAAGAACAGGGATACATCACTGAGGCTGTATTAGGGTCTGGTCAGACCACATTTGGGATACTGTGAGCAGTTTTGGGCCCTGTATCTAATGCAGGATGTGCTGGCATTGGAGGGGTCCAGAGGTCATTTACAAGAATGATCCTGGAGATGAAGGGCTTGCTTTATGAGGAGCAGTCGAGGACTCTGGGTCGGTACTCGATGAGTTTAGAGGATATGGGGGGAGCTGATTGAAACTTAGAGAATAGTGAGAGGCCTGGATAGGGTGAACCTGGAAGAAGATGTTTCCTAGGAGATACTAGGATCCGAGGGCACAGCCTCAAAGTGAAGAGACAACTCCTTTAGAACTGGCTGAACAAATTCCTCTTCATCTCAGAGGGTGGTTAATCTGTGGAACACATTGCTACTGAGGGCTGTGGGGGCCAAGTCATTGAGTGTATGTAAATCAGAGATAGATAGGTTCTTGATTGGTAAGGGGATCGAGGATTATGGAGAGAAGGCAGGAGAATAGGGTTGAGAAACATATCAACCATGATTGAATGATAGAGCAGACTCAATTGGCTGAATGGCCTAATTCTGCTCTTATGTCTTATGGTCTTAGATAGAATTCCTTTATGATTCATATGCAAATATTTTATCACGTTATGTTGAAAGAAGTATCCATGAGGAACCTTACTGGAAATATGAATGCAGATATTCTACATGTAGGTTTTGGTTACTCAAGATGATACAGCCTTTTTTTTTGGTTAGTATATGAACTTAAGGGTTTCAGATTTTTTAAAACCAAAACAGTACAAGCATGAAATGCAGGAACGTACACAACTTCACTTATAGTAACAAATAGGAACCATTTAATCCATCAATTTAATTATTGCTCAATACTATCAAATATAAGTCTTCTACACCACATGAAAACCATTGCGCAACAGAAGGAAAAAGAAACATTGCAAAAAAATCACTATTGTGAAACATTGTATACAACAGATAAACTGCCAAAGATACACAGCACTAAAATAATTAAAGCAATAATGATAAAATAATATGCCTGTGTACACTAGATTATGCAATTCTTAGTACTGTAGCATGAAGTAGGTTACTTCAAAAAAAAGCAAGTCATCATGTTTTCTCAGAAACACTCAGAAGTAGTTTTCACTATTGCTGAGTGTTCTGAATAGAAACAAACCAAACAGTGCTTGTTCTTTTAAGAACAAAAAAAACACATTTTTGTCCATAACCAAACCTGCTAAGTTATTTTGTTCTCCGTGATAAATAATTTTAATTGACTCAGATTACATCACTATAGATTTAAGTATCCTGTGAACAGATAATACTAACCTTGTCCTGAACATAACAGCAGGATCCATATTAACAGAAGCCATACGGCCAACATGACGGATTTCTTTTGCAATCATTCGTAACTTTTCAAAATTCACCAGACCTTCCACTTTGGAATCGTTCCCTAAGGAAGAAAATTAAAATTACTCCTGACAAGGAGTGAGACAGCCTTCTATATATTAAAATTTCTATTTAGCTTCCAGAGAACTCGAATAACAATCAAGATCAAAACAAGGAATCTCAATGATTTAATGTTCTATGAAGGAATGGGTTAGCATACTGCACATATTTTGATTTCAACACTAGCAATGCTGGTCGTTGGACGTTAGCATTGACCATAAATCAAGATAGAATTATTAGTGGTTAGCAGCAAGGCTACCCTAGACTTTAAAAATTGATTATCGAAATTGCGTGTTTAAAGTTACATTGCTGCTTTAAATAAATGGTGCACAATAACCAGAGGACAGCAGCTGATGATTGGTTGGTGAGAATTGCAGCTAAAGAGATCTGTCAACCTTGAAGCTCGGAATCTGTAATTTAATATTGCTTTATTAAATTAATAAATGAAATACATTTTTTTAAAAGCATGTCCTCAGTTATTTCTGTTAAGCTTAGTTTATCTAATAGATGGAGACACAGCCATATATCTCGGTTTCATGACACGTGGGACTCCAGGATGATTCTCCTGTCCTGGACAACCAAGTATTGGAAATGTTATCAGCTAAAGCAACTCTAACTCTGGATTTTGGAGCTTGAGTTACAGGTAACACACTGGTGTCTACGTACGGCTGGAAGTTTCACAGACAGCACATTTTTGGAGGTGGAGCTAAAGAATGTGCAGGCAGAGTGAAATTAGTGACCACAAGGCAGTCAAGAAAAATGTGGCAAGACGGGCCACAATCCAACTGTCATTCAGTTCTGAATCTGGGTCATCTGGAGATTGTAGCCCCAGCGAAGTTCTCATAATTTAGAAGTGAAAAGTTTGTACAAGTTTAAGAAAAAATGTTCAGTATTTCCTTTCTTTTTTATTCTGACCCGCGCAAGCTACAAAACACACAAATATATTTTTATTGGGAGACAAATAAACTAAACTGTGGTCATGGTATCACTATAATACCTATACCTGTACCACTACAATTGTTAATTATTTGAAAAGAAAGGCAGAGAGAAAACTGGGAATTATAGATCAGATAATCTGATGCCAGTAGTAGGAAACTGGTAGAGTCCATTTTAAAAGATCTAACAGCTGAGCACATGGAAAACAGGCAGAATTTGACAGAGTCAGTATGGATATACAAAAGGGAAGTCATGCTGAACAAACTTACAGGAATTCTTCAAGGAAGAGACTCATGTAGTCGATGAGAGGGAAACAGTGAATGTGGTTTATTTGCACTTTCAGAAAGCTTGCGAATAAAGTCCCTCATGAGAGATAAGCATATAGAATTAAAGTCCATGGAACTAGAGGCTCAGTACTCAGATGGATAGAGAATTGGTTGACAGACAGGAAATAAGGAGCAGGAATAAATTGGTCTTTTTCCGAATGGCAGGGAGTGACTCGTGGGGTACCTCAGAGATCAGTGCTAGCAAGCCAGCTACTCACAACATATATTAACGATTTGAATGAGGGAGCTAAACATAATATCTCCATATTTGTAGATTACACAAAGCTGGGTGGGAGCATGAGCTGAAATGCTTCAGTGTGATTTGAACAAGCTGAGCGAATGAACAAATGCATGTCAGATCCAGTATAATGTGGATAAATGTGAGGTTATCCATTTTGACAGCAAAAATAGGAAGGCACATTGTTATCTGAATGACTATGTATTGAGAGATGGGAATATGCAACAAGACCTCGGTGTCCTTGTACAGAAGTCATGCAAGATAAGCATTCAGGTGCAGCTGGCAGCGAAAGCAAATGGTATCTTGGCCTTGATAGCAAGAGAATTTGATTACAGGAGCATGGATGACTTGCTGCAATTATTCATGGCTTTGGTGAGACCACAGCAGGAATACAGTATGCAGTTTATGGTCTCCTTATCTGAGGAAGGATGTTCTTGCTGTCGAGGGAGTGAAGGTTTACCAGATTGATTCCTGGGTTGCTCAGCAGGTCTGGCAGCATTTGTGAAGAAAAATCCAAGTTAACATTTCGGGTCCAGTGACCCTTCCGGTTCTGAGGGAGGGTCATCAGATGCGAAACGTTAACTCTGATTTTTCTTCACAGATGCCGCCAAACCTGCGAGCTTTTCCAACAATTTCTGTTTTTGTTCCTGATTAAAGTATCCACAGTTCTTTCGGTTTTAATTCCTGAGTTGGCAGGACTGATGTACAAGAAGAGGTTGAATCAGTTAGGATTATATTCATTGAAGTTCAGAAGAATAAGTGGGGGGGGGGGGGGGTGGGAGGAATCTCATAGACATCTGTAAAATTCTAACAGGATTGAACAGGGTAGGTGGAGGAAGGATCTTCCCAATAACGGCGGAGTCCAAAACCAGAGTTCACAGTCTAAGGATTATGGGGCAGACGATTTAGAAATGATAGAAGGTGAAATCTCTTCACCTACGCAGTGGTGAGCCTATGGGATTCGCTACCACAGAAAGCAGTTGAAGCTAAAATATTGAATGATTTCAAGAAGGAGGTGGATATAGCACTTGGAGCTAAAGGGATCAAAGGATATGGGGGAAAAGCAGGAACAAACTATTGAGTTGGATGATCATAATGAATGGCAGAGTAGCCTTAAAGGCCCAAATGGCCTACTCCTGCTCCTATTTTCTATGTTTCTACGTTAACGTGCCATGTAATGGAATAAACTGACCACACAAAACAACAAAAAATTAGAAATAATATTGACTATGGCAACAAAGATTCTTGGAGAGAATAGGTTTGCAACTTCAAACAATCAGTCGTTTCGAATGGCTCAGGTAAATTTATGAAGTTTGAATCCTAAGGCCAGAGAAGAAGATCAAAAGTGCATGAAAAAAAATTACACAAAGAAGGAGAGGTTGTTTTACACACAGAGCTTGTGGGATAGACCTGTCTGCATGTTTGTTCAACAGCTCTGGAGGGGTCTTTTTTCTGTTTATCTGGAGATTTGAAAGATGATTGATAGAGGACATGAGGAGGAGGCTTTTTTTGGTTGATGAGCATTTTAGCTAAGTGTTTGATTTATTTTAAGATTTTAAATCTTTAATTTTTTTTATCTTTTGCATGCTTAAGGTTAAAATCTGTGGGTAAGGAAGAGTAGTTTGTTTAATATGTAAGGTGCTTATGAAAGCTTCTTCTTTTTAGGCTTCATGTTACTGAGGGCATTCAAGAGACACAAAATGTGATGGCTAATAGATTTAAAGAGGTGGTTACACAGCAGGATCAGGCAGATAAATGGGCGACTGTCAGGAAAGTTTGGGGAGATCTGCTAGTTCTATTCCAGGAGCCTTTAAACTAGTAGAGAGAGGTGCTGGGCCGGAGGAGGGTGGGTGGGGGGGGGAGCGGTTGTGGGTGGTGGTGGTGATAGTCCTAGGTAGCAGTAACATTAGAAAGACAAATGAGAATGGTTCTGAAACATAAAAGAGCAAGTTAATTAGAAAAGGCTGACAAGAGCAAGTCAGACAGCAGGATAATTCTGAAGAATTAAACTGCAATTATTTCCATGCAAGGGGTCTTATAGGTAAGGCTGATGAATTCAGGACATGCATGGGAACATGGGACTGGGACATCATACCTATTATAGAAAGTTGGCTGAGGGAAGGACAGGAATGGCAGCTCAATGTTCTGGGTTTTAGATATTCTAGGAAGGATAGAAAGGAAGGCAAGAGGATGGAGAGTGGGGCTTTTGACAAAGGGAAACATTACAATTAGAGGGGATATTTCTGAAGGATCGTCCAGTGAAACGATATAAGTAGAAATCAGAAATAAGAAAGGCATGATCATCTTAATGGGATTATACTATAGGCCCTCCCAACAGTCACAGGAAAGTTGAGGAGCAAATATGTAGAGAGACCGCAAATATATTTAAGAATAATAGTGTTGTAACAGTAGGAGATCTTAATTTTCCAAACATTGGCTGGGAATGCCATTGTGTGAAAGGCTTGGACGGTGAGGAACTTGTTAAATGTGTTTGAGAAAAAAATGTTTATCAAAATGTAAATGTACCTACTAGAAAAGGAGCAAAACTTGACTTTCTCTTGGGAAATAAGGCTGGGCAAGTGACTGAAGTGTTAGTAGGGAAACACTTTGGGACTAGTGATCACAATTCTATTAGTTTGAAAATAGTTATGGAAAAGATAACCCTTTCATGAAAGTTAAAGTTCTTAATTGGAGTAAGGCAAATTTTAACAGTATGGACAACAACTTTCAACAGTTGACTGGAGTAGACTTCGCAGGTAAAGGAACAACTGACAAGTGGGAGGCTTTCGAAAAAGTGTGATTATGACAGTTCAGGGGCATTATGTTCCTGTTAGAGTGAAGGAAAAGGTTGTTAAGATTAAGGAACAACAGATGAATAAAGATATTAAGGTTCTGGTCAAGAATAAGAAATAATTATATATTAGATATAGTCAACTAGAATCAAATGAATCTCTTGAAAAGTAGACAGTATAGGGGGAGGGGATTCCTAGGAGGGCAAAGAAAGGTCATGAGATAGTCTTGACAGATAAGGTTAAGGATAATCCAACGAGATTCTACGAGTACATAAGGAGCAAAAGAGCAGCTACTGACAGAATAGGGCCCCTTAAAGATCAACAAGCTCATCTATGTGTTGAACCTCAGGAGTGGGGAGAGATACTAAATGAATATTTCATGTCAGTTTTTACTGTGGAGAAAGAAATGGAGGCTAGAGAACTCAGGGAAATAAATATTGATGGTTTGAAAACGGTTCACATTACAGAAGAGCAGGTGCTGGAGATCTTAAAAAAACAAAGGTGGATAAATCTCCTGGATTTGATCAATAGGTCCATGGGCTGAAAAATGGCAGATGGAGTTCAAGGTATTGCATTTGATACAACAAACAAGGGTAGGGCTTATACAATTAATGGTAGGGCCTTGGGTAGTGTTGTAGAACAGAGGGACCTGGGGGTGCATACTTCTTTGAAGTTTGCATCACATACCAACAGGGTGGTTAAAAAGACATTTGGCACACTTGCCTTGATTGCTCAGTCCTTTGAGTATAGGAGTCGGGAAATTATGTTGTGATTGTACAGGACATTGGTGAGGCCTCTTCTGGAATACCGCATCCAGTTCTGTTTACCCAATTATAGGAAGGATATTATCAAGCTGCAGGGGTCCAGAAAAGATTTACCAGGATGTTGCCACGTATGGAAGGTTTGAGTAATAAAGAAATGTTGGATAGGCTGGGAATTTTTTTTACTGGAGCATAGGAAAATGAGAGGTGACCTGATACAAGTGTATAAAATAATGAAGGGTATAGATAAAGTTAATGGTAGTTGCCTTTTCTCTGGGATGGGGGATTTCAAGATGAAGGGGCACGTTTTTAAGGTGAGAGGAGAGAGATTTAAAAAAGGCACGATGGGCAAATATTTACACAGAGGATGGCTCGCATGTTGAATGAACTTCCTGAGGAAGTGGTGGACGTCAATACAATTATAACGTTTAAAAGAAATTTGGGTAAGTACATGAATAGGAAAGGTTTGGAGTGGTATGGGCCAGGAGTAAGTAGGTGGGACTAGTTAATTTGGGATTATGTTTGACATGGACTGCTTGGACTGAAGGGTCTGCATCCATGCTGTATGACTATTTGACTATGACTAAGTATATCCCAGGAAATTGTGGGAAATTAGGGAAGAAATTGTGGGGCCTCTTGCAGAAATATTTGTATCCATATAATCACAGGCGAGGTGCCAGAGGACTGGAGGTTGGCTAATGAGCCTTTATTTAAGAAAGGCTGGAAGGAGAAGCCTAGGAACTATAGATTTGTAAGCCTCATATTAGTGGTCGCTAAGTTGTTGGAGGTGATTCTGAAAGATAGGATTACATGCACTTGGAGGGGCCAGAACTGATTAAAGATAGCCCAGCATGGTTTTGTGCGAGGGAAATTGTGTTTCACAAACTTGACTGAGGTATTTTGAGGAAGTAACCAAAAATAATGATGATGGTAGAGCAGCAGACATTATTTACATGAACTTTAATAAAGCCTTTGACAAGGTTCCGCATAGTAGACCAATTAATAAAATTAGATCACATGGGCGGCATGGTGCCTTAGTGGTTAGCACTGCTGCCTCACAGCGCCAGGGACCAGGTTCCATTCCAGCCTTGGGCAGCTATCTGTATGGAGTTTGAACATTCTCCCCGTGTCTGCACGGGTTTTCTCTGGGTGCTCCGGTTTCCGGATGTGCAGACAAGGTGGATTACCGTGCTATATTGCCCCATACAGTAGGGGTGGAGGGAGGGTGTGAGTCTGGGTGGGATGGTCTTCAGAGAGTCGGTATAGATTTATTGGGCTGAATGGCCTGTTTCCACACTGTAGGGATGGTATGGCATTGGATTTAATGGGATTCAGGGTGAGCTTGCCAACTGGACACAAAATTGGCTTGATGGTAGGGGAGACAGGGTGGTGGTAGAGGGTGTTCTTCAGCCTGGAGACCTGTGACCAGTGGTGTTCCACAGAGATCGGTACTGGGTCCGCTCGTTTGTCATTTATCTTGAGTCATAGAGCTGTAAGCATGGAAACAGACCCTTCAGTCCAACTCGTCCATGCTGACCAGATAGCCGAAATTAATCTAGTCCCATTTGCCAGCATTTGGCCCATATTCGTCTAAACCCTTCCTATTCATGTACCCATCCAGATGCCTTTCAAATGCTGTAATTGTACTAGCCTCCACCACTTCTACTGGCAGCTCATTCCATAAAAAAAGTCACCTAGCCTTTCCCCTGCTGTGAGCTCCCCACACAGGTTTCTCCAAGATCAGCAGTGAAATTCACTGAGATAGTAGAACTGCCGATGCTGGAGAATCTGAGATAACAAGGTGTAGAGCTGGATGAACACACCAGGCCAAGCAGCATCAGAGGAGCAGGAAAGCTGACGTTTCGGGTCGAGACCCTTCTTCCTAGAAATTCAGTGAAATTCACTGTTTTGTTTAGTTTTCTTGGAATGAACTCCAATGTCCAGAGATTCAACAATTTGGATGAGAATATAGGAGGCATTTTAGTAAGTTACAATAATAGAATCCTTACAGAGTGAAAGCAGGCCATTCAGCCCATTGGGTCAACATCGACTTTCGAACAGCATCCCATCCAGACCCACCGCCCTACCCTATCCCTGTAACATGGCTAATCCACCAAACCTGCACATGCTTGGACTCTGGGAAGAAAGTGGAGATTTCACAGGAAACCCAAGCAGACTGGGGGAGAATGTGTAAACTCCACACAGACAGTCACACAAGGATGGAATCGAAACCAGGTCCCTGGTGCTGTGGGGGAAGTGTGCTAACCTTGTGGGTGACACCAAAATTGGCAGTACAGTGGACACTGACGGAGGTAATCTAAGATTACAAACAGATCATGGCCAATTGGTTCAATGGGCTGAGATGTTGGTGAGGCCGCTTCTGGAGTACTGTGTGCAGTTCTGGTTGCCCTGCTGTAGGAAGGATAGTATTAAATTGGAGAGGGTTCAGAAAAGATTTACCAGGAGGTTGCTGGGAACTAATGGTTTGAGTTACAAAAATAGGTTCGGACTTGCTTTCACTGGAGCGTAGGAGGTTGAGAGGTGACCTTATAGCGGTTTACAAAATCATGAGGGGCACAGATAAGGTGAATAGCAAGGGTCTTTTCCCTAGGGTGGGGAAGTTCAAAACTAGCGGGCATATTTTTAAGGTGGGGGGAGAAACTTTTTAAAAGGACATGAGGGACAACTATTTTACATAGAGAGTAGCTCATATGGGGAATGAACTTCCAGAGGAAGAGGTAGATGCATGTACAGTTACAACATTTAGATATATACATGAATAGGAAAGGTTTGAAGGGATATGGGCCAAATGTAGGCAAGTGGGACTAGTTTTTGTAGGACCGAAGGATCTGTTTCCATGCTATATGACTCTATGATTACTCCTGAATGCACAATGTTGTGACATAAATAGTGTCATAGTGAGCAACATTGTATAACATATAGAATATTTCTAGTGTAACATAATAAAGTTAGCACAAGTTTACTGAGAAAAAGGCAGTTGATTACCAGGAAAATGCTCAGCATATACTTAATTTATTAAACATACTGATAAACTGTTAATCTTTAGTTCAGAACAGTGAATAGTCACTCCGTAGCTAAATTTGGGACAAGAAGATACAACAAATCTCTCTCAAATTTGACATACATAGTTTTAAAAGTAAAGAGATGGGTGAAACACACATTAGCAAACACAGGTACCAAATAAGCTAATGATTGAGAAATCATGAGCACGGTGTGAAGTTTAGTGACACTTCCAGTACAGAAAACAACAAAAATGCAACCATAGACACTTTTTCTTTAAAAACAGTAAGTAGAGCTACCTTCATGCAGGAATGTCAGATCTTTCTTGATAACTGGGAAGAGAGGAATAATGGGAGGTTGTAGATTCTCATTGTTCAGAACATTCCTGTATTTAGCCATATTTCTGGAGGGATCTAAGAGGTCCTGAAGGTCCTGAAATAACTTCTCATATTTACTTGGAAGTTTTTCCCAAGTATTCCGTAGTCTTGCCACTGGTGCAAGATATAAACCACTAGATTTTATGAAAAAATAAAGAAAATACATTATTACCTAAAACCAAACACTAAAACAGTTCTTTCAAGTAGTAAACCATCAAATAAACTTGAATTTTTTTCCATCTCATTTTTCTTAACTAAACTCTCATGTTTAAAAGTTCTAATTCACATATAGAGGGGAAGAAACAGTAAATTTTGGCATTGTGGGCCAAGATTCCAGTCACAATATCAGTGGCCAAAACCATTCAGCTAAAGATGTAGCACACATATAGGAATATAAGCCTTGAACACAACCTTCAAAAACACTATTTTCAAATGAAGTATCAAAATCAACACTAAAATGTAGGTTATTGTACTTAATATTTGCCAAAATAGATTAAAATAAATGTTATTGTGATTTGTTTGTATTAACCAGCTCTAGTTTTAATATTCTAACAAAAAACAAAAAAAGTATCAACTTCAATACTCATTTTCCAAGTTCAGATAATTAATTAAGAAAATCGGTAAGAAACGTTAATTAAGGCCCTTGGGTCACTGACATTTCAGCAAGTATCGAGCATTTTAGGAAAATTTATTTGCAGGTTTAACCCACTTATCCCTTGACCTCCGAATATTCCATAACAAGGGTATAATTTAAGTATTCCCTTCTTGTAACAGAAACTCGCTACATAATCAAAAAAAGATATTTTGCAAACAAATATGAAAAATCTCTGAAATTCCCTAACGACACAAATCATTGAAATCTCTCAAAGGGTTGCAATTTTTGCACAAAGTACAGAACATTTGAATGTTACCATAAGTCCTGTGTTTTAATGCCCTGTAAAATTTTGTTTCTAGTCAACACAATAATGACTGTGAAAATTATAAAAAAACATAAAACTTTGCATTTGAATGTGCATTAGTGAACATTGTTATCCATTTCCTACAATATTAAAGCAAGTGACATATTTGGGTCCTTCCATTTGAAAGCTTATCATCACAATTATTTAATTCTGACAGAATGAAACACCCACAGTATGTGTGTTAAACCACTACTTTTATCGGTCTTAACCATGTTTGACCGTGCATATTTTACAGGTTTTTTGAAGAGATTAGTTTAAAGTTGCAAATTCGTAGATTTACAAGTCCTTTCACTTCATTGCTCTTGCTAAAGTTAATTGTGTACCAAGAAATAGTTATTTTTCTGTTACTGACGAAACTTGACGTGAAATGCTTTTGTCTTGAGTAGTAGACAGTCAGGCAAATTTGTCATTTTAGTGACCTCATCGGGATTTTATACATTTGTACATTTTTTGTGATAGCTTGTTAAACAGTGGAGTACAACTATCGGCACAGTCCTCTCGGTTAAGCCATAAATGCTCCAAGCACTATGATGTGCTTCAAAATTGCTTTGTGAGCAAAGCAAACTCCTAAATAATAAGATAACACAGTAATGGAGCTGGAGGAACACAGCAGGTCAGGCAGCATCTGAGGAGCAGGAAAATTGACGTTTCAGGTTGGGACCCTTCTTCAGAAATGGGGTGGGTTAAGGGAGCTGGGAAATAAATAGAGAAAGGAGGGTTGGGGCTGGGGAAGGTAGGTGGAATGGTGATAGGTGAGTGCAGGTAGGGAGTGGTGGGGATTGGTCAGTGGGATGGGTGGGGCGGATAAATGGGAGAGAAGATGGACAGGTTGTGTCAGGTCAAGGAGGGACGGATGAGAGGGAGGGTTGGACATGGGATGAGGCCGGAGGTGGGGAGATTTTAAAACTGGTGAATTCCACATTTAGGCCATAGGGCTGTAGGCTCCCAGGGCGGAATATGAGGTATTGCTCCTCCAGTTTGCAGTTGGTGTCATTGTGACACTGGAGGCAGCCCAGGATGGACATATCACCCAGGGGGTGGGAGGGCAAGTTAAAATGGTTCACGACCAGAAGGTGTTGTCATTTGTCATGTACAAAGAGCAGATGCTCGACAAAATGGTCTCTGAGTCTATGGATGTACAGGAGGCCACATCAGGAGCAGCGTGTACAGTAGACCAAGTTGACGATGTGCAGGTGAACCACTGTTTGATATGGAAGGTTTGTTTTGTGCTTTGAATGGAGGTGAGGGAGGAGATGTAGGGGCAGGTGTAGCACTTCCTGCAGGTGCAGATAAAGGTGCCATGGGTGGTGTGGTTAGTGGGGACTGTGGAGCAGATGAAGGAGTTGCGGAAAGCGCGGTCCCTACAAAAGGCAGATAGGGGTGGGGAGGGAAGTATCTTTCTGGTTGTGGGGTCGGATTGTAGGTGGCGGACGTGGCGGAGAACGAAACGTTCGATGCGGAGGTTGGTGGGGTGATATGTGAGGACAACGGGGATTCTGCCTTTATTTTTGTTGGAGGGTGGGGATGTGAGGATATAAGTGCAGGAAATGCAAGAGATGTGGTTGAGGGCATTTTCAATCACCGGAGGGGCGAAGTTATGGTCCTTGAAATAGGAGGACATCTGGGATATGCGGGAGTGGAACACCCCATCTTGGGAGCAGACGCAGAGAAATTGGGAGGAGGGGATCGCATTCTTGCTGGAAGGTGGGTGAAAGGAGGTGCAGTGCCGGTAGCTGTGGGAGTCGGTGGGCTTGAAATAGATGTCAGTTTCAAGGCGGTCGCCAGTGGTGAAGACTGAGAGGTCCAGGAAGGAGAGGGAGGTATGGAGATGGTCCAGGTGAACTTGAGGTTGGGGTTAAAGGTGTTAGTAAAGTTGATGAACTGTTCAAGCTCCTCGTGGGAGCATGAGGCAGCGCCGATACAGTCATCGATGTAGTGGAGGAAGAGGTGGGGGATAGTGCTCGTGTAACATGGAAAAGGGACTGTTACATGTACATGTATCCTATGAAGAGGCATGCACAGCTTGGGCCCATGCGAGTGCCCATGGCCAGCCCCTTATTCTGTAGGAAGTGTGATCCGCTGCTCCAGATGTGGCCTGCTCTACATCGGTGAGACCAAGCATAGCCTCCGAGACCGTTTTGTAGAGCATCTGCACTCTGTACTCAACAAACACCACCACCTTCCGGTTACCAACCATTTTAACTCCCCCTCCCACTACCTGGGTGACATGTCAATCCTGGGCCTCCTCCAGTGTCACAGTGACACCATCCACAAACTGGAGGAGCAACATCTCATATTCCGCCTCGGGAGCCTAAGCCCGATGGGCTAAACATGGAATTCACTAGTTTTAAAATCTCGTCCCCCCTGGCCTCATCCCATGTCCAACCCTCCCTCTCATCCCCGCCTCCTTGACCTGACACAACCTGTCCACCATCTCTCCCACTTATCTGCCCCAGCCATCCCAATGACCAATCCTCACCACTCCCTAACTGCACTCACCTATCACCATCCCAACTACCTTCCCCAGCCCCATCCCCCCCTCTCTATTTATTTCCCAGCTCCCTTACTCCTCCCCATTTCTGAAGATGGGTTCCGACCCGAATTGTTAACTTTCCTGCTCCTCAGATGCTGATTGCTTGCTGTGTTCCTCCAGCTCCACACTGTGTTATTTCTGACTCCAGCATCTGCAGTTCTTGCTATCTCTCCTAAATAATAATGCATTTTAAAATTACAGCAGAGGCTTGAAGACCACTTTGTGGAGCACCTACGCTTGGTTTGTGACAAACGACAACACCTCCCAGTCGCGAACCACTTCAATTCTCTCTCCCACTCCTTGGACGACATGTCCATCCTGGGCCTCCTCCAGTGCCACAACGATGCCACCCGAAGGCTGGAGGAACAGCACCTCACATTCCGCCTGGGAACCCTGAAGCCCAATGGTCTCAATGTGGACTTTACAAGCTTCAAAATCTCCCCATCCCTGACGTCATCCCAAGACCAGCCCCTCTCGTCCCCGCCTCCTTGACCTGTCCGTCTTTTCTCCCACCTATCCACTCCTCCCACCTCACTGACCAACCCCCACCCCCACTTCCTACCTACTAGCCTCATTGCCTCCTCCTTGACCTGTCTGTCGTCCCTCCAACCTACCCACCCCTCCCTCCTCACCGACCAACTCCCATCCCAACTCCCTACCTCCACTCACCTGTACTGGCTTCATCCCTGCCTCCTTGACCTGTCCATCTTCTCTCCACCTATCTGCTCCTCTATCCACCTTCTATCATCACCTCCCCCTCTCTCTATTTATTTCAGAGCTCCCTTCCCCTCCCTCATTTCTGAAGAAGGGTCCAGACCTGAAACGTCAGCTTTCCTGCTCCTCTGATGCTGCCTGGCCTGCTGTGTTCATCCAGCTCCACACCTTGTTATCTACTCCTATCTGCTATGTTTACCTGATAATTGCAAACATGGAGTTGAAGTTCTTGCATTCTCGACAGTGCAGAGCCATCTTTATGAAGTGTTTGATTATCTTCATTCTTTTCAACTGGTTTGACTCCTTAAGGATTTCTGTTGCAACCCAAAATGTTTCCTGATTGATAATGTTCTCAAATTTCTTCAGATTGGCACATTCAGTTTTTGACTTAAGTTTGAATAAGTCATCTATGTACTCTGTGGGCTCAATATTACGAAATAGTTCAAAGTTCCTCATGGAGAGCTGAGTGGCAACTTCAATCGTGCTCAATTGTAACAGTGTGATATGACTCTCCCGAAGCAATTCCTGAGCATCTTCATCTGAGCACAGTGTCTCTGTTTCCATGTTATTCTTCAGATAGTACCTCATGAAAGAAAAACAAATTGCATCAATTAAAAAGGCATCAGCATTAAGCAGGTTTATTCTAGAGTTGTGTAAAACTGTTTCCCTTTCAATTTATTTTATATCAGCAAGCAAATAGCTGCAAAATTTGACATTTTATTTTACGTTGCATTCTGAGCAATAGTTGAGCAGAAACAGAACTTCCTACCGAAAGGACCATTATAAATGGGAACAGAAGTAGGCCATTTGGCCCTTTGAGCCTGCTCCGCCACTCAATAGGATCATGCCCCATCTGACATTCCTGCATTTCCCCCGCAACCCTTGATACTGATCAAGAATCAATTTCAGCCTTAAATATACAAGGACTCAGCCCTCACCCCGGTTCTGTCTAGCAAGGAGTTCCAAAGACTCTCAACCCTCCAAGAGAAGAAATTTCTCCTTATTTCAGTCTTCAGTTGACTCTCCTTTATTCTAAGACTGTGCCCTCTGGTCCTAGGCTTTCCCATGAGGGGAAACATTCTCTCAACTCTTACCCTGTCAAGCCACTTAAGAATCCTACGTGTTTCAATGAGATCACCTCTCATTTTCCTAAATTAAAGTGACGACAGTCCCAACCTGTTTAGCCTTTGCTCAGAACAGAATCCCTTTGTACCAGGGGTCATCCTAGTGAACCTTCTCTGATCTGCTTCCATTGAAATTATATATTTCTTAAATAAGGAGACCAAATCCAGATGTGGCCTCACCAGCACCTTGTATAGTTGCAGTAAGACTTCCTAACTTAAAACCCCTTGAAACAGGGCCAATATTCCATTAACCTTCCTAATTACCTGTTGCATCTGAGCGCTTGCTTTCAGTGTTTCGGACACATGTACCCCCAAGTCTATTTGTGCTGCAGATTTCTGCAGCTTTTCTCCATTTAAATAATACTTTGTTCTTATGTTCTCTCTTCAAAAATGGGCGACTTCACATTTTCCCACATTGTATTCCATTTGCCAACCTTTTGCCCACTTACCCACCCTTTCAATACCTCTCTGTAAACTGTATGTACCCCTCTAACAACTTGCCTTCCATATACTTTTAAGTTGTCTGCAAAATTGGCTACAGTACATTTACTTCCTTCCTCCAAGCCACTAATATATATTGTAAACAGATGCAATCCCTGTACTGATCCCTGCGGTGTCCCACTGGTCACAGGTCGCCAACCTGCAAAGAAGCCTTCATCTCACTGCTATTTCCTGTCATTAGCCAATTCTCTATCCACACCAATACACTACCTCCGACATTCTGGGCTGTTATCTTGTGACTTTAACTTTTGGAAGGTACCTTGTCACATGCCTTCTTGAAGTCCAAACACAATATGTCTACTGGGTCCTGTCTATCCACTCTGGTTAAGACTTCCTCAAAATACTCTAATAAATTAGTCAGGTACTATTTTCCTTTTATGAGGCTTGATTAGATTATGATTTTGCAATTGTGTTGCTATTACTTCTTTAATAATTGATTCCAACATCTTTCCAACAAAACACTTTAGGCAAATTGCCCTATAGTACTTGCTTTGTGCCTCCCTCCCCTTTTGAACAGGGGTGTAGCACTGGCAGTTTTCCAATCCTCTGGAACTTTTCCAGATCCAAAGATTTTTGGAAAATGACAACCAATGTACCCACTGTCTCTGGCACTACGGATGCAAGCCATCGGGGCAGTGGACTTATCTGCCTTTTGCCCCATTAGTTTGTATAATATTACTTCTCTAGTGTTAATAATGGTACTTAATTTTTCCCATGTGTAATGTTCAAAGTATATCTCCCCTGAAGCCTTATGCAAGATACCTGTTTAACTCCTCTGCCATGTCCTTGCTCCCGATAACTATCTCCCCAGATCCATTTTTAAAGGGGCCTACATTCAATTTTACCTCTCTCTTCCTTTTGATATATTTAAAGATGATCTTATTGTCAGTTATTATATTCTGTGCTAGTTTGCCCTCGTAGTTTATGTTCTCTCCTTATTATCTTTTTTAATTCTCCTTTGCTGGATTCTGAATTTATCCCAGTCTTCAGGGCTGTCATTGATTTTTGCCTACTTGTTTGCTTTTTCTTTCAACTGTATTACTCTTCTTAACCTAATATCATTTCAAATGTTTCTTTTGATTGATTTCACTAAAGGGCAGGTCCAACAGGAAATATTATAGAGTCAGAGAATCACAGACTCCCTCCAGTGTGGAAGGACGCTATTTGGCCAATTGAGTCCACACCGACCCTCTGAAGAGCATCTCACCCAGACCCAACCACCTATCCTATCTCTGTAACCCTGTACTTCCCATGACTAATCCACCTAGCCTGCACATCCCTGTACACTATGGGCAATTTAGCATGGCCAATCCACTAACCTGCACATCTTCAGACTGTGGGAGGAAACCAAAGCATGCAGACCCGGGAAAAATGTGTAAACTCCACACAGACAGTCACCGGAGGGTGGAACTGAACACTGAGGCAGCAGTGCTAACCACTGAGCCACTGTGCTCCCATGAGTAAATTAACTCATTTTTTAATGCACTCCACAATAGCCATCTCCTGAACAGGTGGCTGGGAACAAATTTGTAACTAATTGAAATGGAAAAATAATACTTGGCAAAATGAATTCAAAAAAACTGAAAAGAAATTCACCCGAAATACGGAGCGATTTGACCCGGAAGTTGACCTGCTGCTATGCTGGTATGTATTACACCTGTGAACAATGTGGAGATGCAATTCAAACTTAATATTTTCCTAATGTAAAATAGAGCAAAACAAACTTATTTTTATTGCATTCTTTGAAAGAACCTGTATTCTGGTAACTTCATCATCTTTACCTGCCACTAAGCTGGATTCGGTCAGCAAGCTTCGATAATTGGTCTGGAAGTCTTCTTTGTTTGATAACACCTTCAGGAGTGACAGAGACTTCACACAGCGAGTATGATTCAGGAGCAGCAGTTAAGGTAAATTCACGAATTGCCTGAATGACCACTTCTTTTGCAGTGGTATCTCTGCTGATCATTATGTAGCGACTTTGTTGGTCAGCTTTGAAAACTCTTAAAACTTGATCTGGTAGCTCTGTTCAAAAGGAAAACAAACTGAATACATGGATAGCATAAAGATAGAGTACTTTATTAAGGTTGTATGAACATATGAAATCAGTGGGCAGGAAAAGACTAGCTGATTCATCAAGCCATACAAAGTTATTTCGGAAATTAAGTTGTGAAGAAGACATAAGGAGGCTACAAAAGGTATCAATAATTTTGTGAGCAAGTAAATATGTGACAAATGGAGTATAATGTGGGGTGATCATGAAAGGCCATTTTGGCAGGAAGAATAAGACGAAAGCATATTGTCTAAATGGCAAGAGATTGAAGAGCTCCGAAGTGCAGAGGGATCTGGGTGTCCTAATACATGAATTCCAAGTAATTAGAAAAGCTAACAGAATGTTACCATTTATTGCAAGGACAATTTAATACAAAAGTAGAAAGGTTATGTTTCAGTTACACAGAACACTTATCATGTACAGTAATGGTCACTTTATTCAAGCAAGGATGTAACTGTGTTGGAGGCAGTTTCGGAAAGTTTACAAAGCTAACACCTGGAATGGGGATGTTGTCTTCTGAGGAAAGGGTTGGACAGGTTAGGCTTGTATCCACTGGAGTTTAGAATAGTAAATGACTTGATTGAAACACAGAAGATCCCAAGGATCTTGGATAGGGTAAATACGAAGAGGATGTTTCCTCTTATGGGAGCATCTAGAACTGGGGGTCACGGTTTAAAAATTAAGAATTGCCCATTTAAAAGAGAGATGAGGCGAAGATTTTTCTCTGGAGATTTGAGAATCTTTGGAATTCTCTTCCTAAAAAGTGGTGGAAGCACATTCCTCAAACATTGTTAAAGCATTTATTAAGCAAATGGAGGTTGTCGGAGGTAGGTAAGAATGTGGATTTGTGGTTATGATCTCACAGAATGGCAGGGCAGGCTTTGTATGTATGGTTGTATGTATCAAGCCTTCTCCACACTATTGCAAAATATACAATAATATTACCATATTTTCTTCCTGTTCATTAACAGGGGTGTCCTCTCCACTAACACTATGTTGGATACTGAAATCAACTATCACCTGGCAAAAGGATCCTCATTCACAGACTTTGGAAAGAGCAAAGAGTTTTGTTAACAAGACAGTGATTCTTAGAAATGAGACAATATGTACATCAGCCTGTCAGTGGGGCCAAGTATTCATTTTAAAATTTACTTGGAGCCTGAAAGCATTCAATACCTAATGCAACATTTATCTTCTACTTCTATGCTTGACTATGTTGGAAATAAAAAATAATTTTTGTTACAATCTCTCTTTCGTTAACAGAACAATTTGTGCAAAATATTCAATACATATATTCAAAAAGACCCAAAGTTTAATCCATAAAAGTCCATATCTCATGCTAAAAATAATGAGGAGGAGATCAGCATTCACCATAATTTTGAAGTAAATTAAACCAAAATCTCTAGTGTTAGTACATGAAATTTTCTGTTCCATTTTCTCTGATCCTCCATAGGTTTCATTACACCAGTAGCCATAGTATTAAAAAGCTGGGATGTAAAGTTTCTGAATTTTATCACTAATTAGCCATTAAAAACATTAGAAGCAGTTAGGGCCTGAGCATTCAGGTGCGTGTCAATGTTTAACAACATGATAAATCTTCACTGATGTCAAAATAGTGTCACAAGGATAGCAATCTCTGGATTACTCCTGGTTCCACGTGCAAGCAAGAGTAGGAGTAGGAGAAGAGGGCAGATTAATGCTTGGCTGAGGAGCTTGTGCAGGGGGCAAGGATTCACATTTCTGGATTATTGGAATATATTCAAAAGCGACTGGTTGCACCTGAACTGGAAGGGAGCCAGTAACTTGGTGGGGAGATTTGCTAAAGCTACTCGGGAAGGTTTAAACTGGTCTGGCAGAGGGTGGGGCCCTAAAGAGTAGTGAGGCAAAAGAGAAGGTTGAGGCTCATGTAGAAGTTAGAGATAGCAAGTTAAATAGATCAGGCAGGCAAGAACACAGCAGGGACTGAGGGTAGGTTGACAAATTAAAGTGCATTTATTTCGATGCAAGAGACCTGATAGGTAAGCCAGACAACCTCAGGGCATGGTTGGGAATATGGGACTGGAATAGTATAGCTATTACAGAAACATGGCTGAGGGAGGGACAGGACTGGCAGCTCAATGTTCCAGGATACCGATGCTATACGAAGGATAGATGGGAGGCAAGAGAGCAGGGGAGTGGTGTTTCTGATTAGGGAAAACATCATGGTAGTACTAAGAATGGATATTCCTGAGGGATTGTCCAGTGAAGTTATATGGGTGGAACTAAGATATAAGAAGCGGGTGATCACTTTAATGGGATTATACTATAGGCCCCCCAATAATCAGCAGAAATTGAGTAGAAAATATGAAAGGAGATTGCAGATGGTTGTTAGAATAGTAGGGTTGTACTAGTGGGTGATTTTAACTTTCCAAACATAGACTGAAAGTGCCATTTTGTTAAGGGTTCGTTATGGGGAGGAATTTGTTAAGCGTGTTCAGGAAAAGTTCAGTGACTGATCAGGAAGACTTTCAGTGACTGAGGTACTAGTGGGGGAGCATTTTGACCAGTGACCATAATTCTATTAGTTTTAAAATATTTATGGAAAAGGACAGGCCTGGTACACAAGTTAAATTTTTAAATTGGGGCAAGGCCAATTTTGATGGTATTGGACAGGATCTTTCAAAGGTTGATTGGGAGAGGCTGTTCAGAGGTAAAGGGACATCTAGCAAGTGGGAGGCTTTCAAAAGTGAGATAACAAGTGTTTAGGGCAAGCATATTCTTGTTAGTGTGAAGGGCATGGTTGGTAGGAATAGGGAACACTGGAGATACTGAGGCTGTGGTCAAGAAAAAGGAGGAGGCATGTGTCAGGTATAGGGAGCTGGAATCAAGTGAATCCTTTGGGGAGTATAGCAAGTGTAGGAGTACACTTCAGAGAAAAAAAGGAGGGCAAAAAAGAGATGTGAGATAGCTTTGACAGGTAAGGTAAAGCAGAATCCAAACAGATTCTACAAGTATATTAAGGGCAAAAGACTAACTAGGGAGAGAAAAGATCAACGACGTCATCTATGTGTGGAGCCACAGGAGATGGGCGAGATCCTAAGCTAATATTTCTCATCAGTATTTACTGTGGAGAAAGACACAGAAGCTAGAGAAAGCAGAAAAATAAACAGAGATGCTTTGAAAAGAGTCCACATTATAAACAAGGAGGTGCTGGAGGTCTTAAAATGCTGGGACCTGATCAAGTGTAACCCAGGACATTGTGGGAAGCTAGCAAAGAAATTGAAGGACCTCTAGCAGAGGTATCTGCATCATCGAGAGCTACGGGTGAGGTACAGAAGACTGGAGGGTGGCTAATGTTGTGCCATTCTTAAAGAAAGACTGCAAGGAAAAGGTAGGAAATTACAGACCAGTGAGCCTAATGTCAGCGGTGGGTAAGATGTTGGATGGGATTCTTCAGACACTATCTACACGCATTTGGAAAGGCAAGGACTGATTAGGGATAGTCAGCATGGGTTTGTGCATGGGAAATTATGTCTCACAAACCTGATTGAGGTTTTCGAAGAGTTGACCAAGAAAATAGATCAAGGCAGAGCAGTAGACGTTGTCTACATGAACTTGAGCAAGACCTTTGAGAAGTTCTGGTTAGTAAGGTGATGTCACATGGGATCCAGGGAGAGCTAGCCAGTTGACACAAAATTGGTTTGACAGTAGGAGAAATGGGTGGTGGTAGAGTGTTGTTCAGATTAGAGGCCTGTAACCAGAAGAGTGCTGCAAGAATTGGTGCTGGCTCACTGTTGTCTGTCATTTATATCAACGATTTGGATTAGAATATGGGAGGTGTGGTTAGTAAGTTTGCAGACGACACCAAAATTGATGGTACAGTGAACAGCGAAGGAGGTAATTTAAGAGTACAATGGGATCTTGATCAGCTGGAGCAGTTGGCCGAGGAATGGTAGACAGAGTTTAATTCAAATAAATATGAGGTGTTTCATTTTGGTAAGACAAACCAGTGCAGGACTTACACAGTTAATGGAGGGCCTTGGGGAGCATTGGCGAACAGAGAGACTTAGGGGTACAAGTACATAGTTCCTTGAAAGTGGCATCACAGGTAGACAGGGTGATGAAGAAGGCATTTGGCATACTTGCCTTCATCGGTCACAGCACTGAGTACAGGAGTTGGGATGTCATGTTATAGCTGTATAAGATACCGGTGAGGCCATATTTGGAGTACTGCGTCCAATTCTGGTCGCCCTGCTTTTGGAAGGATGTTATTAAACTGGAAAGATGCAAAAACTGGTACGGATAATATACAAACTCCACATAGACAGGAAGGCTGGAATTGAACCCAGATCCCTGGCGCTATAAGGCAGCAGTGCTAACCACTGAGCCACTGTGCTGCCCTAACACAGGTTACAGTTCCCTGTAAAGGATACCCCTTTGATTTCAACTAACTATAAAATGGCTGTCAGAAGTCCACAAAAAGTCCATAAGCAGTTCTAAATGTAATGAAACAATGAGGCCCATTCCTTTGCTGTTGAATACAGAATCTGGGGTTATTAAAATAATCTTTTCTGGTCAACTAAAATTTGGTGGTATATTTCTAAAATATAGTTCTTAAGTTTATGTATATTAATTCTTTGTGTACTCTGTTCTGCGTTTAGTAAAATACACTGGAAAAATCATCTAAATTTAGGTAATGGCAATTTTGCCACCAAATTTAAAATTTCTATATATTATTGTAGGTGAAGGATAGCAAAGTGGATAAAAGCTTTTAACATAACAAGAGATGAGGTAATATTTGTCATTAAAGAGCGTACAGATTAATTTGCTTATTTGGCACCCTAAGCAGTGCATGCCCTATGTGCTTTTGCTTGAAATGCACTTACTGAGTAGAATAGCTGATTGAAGATGTCAGGTTATGCAATCACTCTTAGAAGTCTTATTCTTTGATTAGTAATTAATTTTTTAGCTATTTTTTGTTTGGTCAATAGGA